CCAGACCAATGAAATCCTTGTCAGACTATTTTGGGGGGAAAAAAATCTTTCTTTTGCTTTGGGGATTGCTAATCTGTAAAAAAATAAGCCTGGTACTGTAAGCCCCCATCTTGCCCCGACAAGGGAAGAGCCTGGCTAAAAAATGCTGAAGGAAAGAAGATCTGGTCCTGGTGGCATCCTAGAACTCCTAGATCCACCTGTCTTCAAGTCATCATACCACGGGACTTTTCAGTTATATGATCCAATGAATTCTCTTTTTTACTTAAGCCAGTTTGAATCACGTCTTTGTACTTGCAACCAACAGTCTTGACCTACAGCCTCTTCTCAATCTCCAAATTTGTTTATATCTTTACTGTTCTGACTTCTATCTCTAATAGAGGTACGATTCTTGTTTGCCTAGTTTTCCTGCTATGCCTTATTTTTCTTTAGGACCTTACTTTATCAGTTTCCCTTCTCCATTGACTTCTTCTCCATTGCCCATATTCCTAACTGGTATTGGCTGAATAAATATTACCCAACTACATCAAAAGTGTAGTCTGTAGGGGCCAGACCAGTGGAGTAGTGGTTAAGTTTGTGCCCTCTGCTTCAGCGGCCCAGGGTTCATGGGTTCAGATCCTGGGCACAGACCTACACACCACTCATCAAGCCATGCTATGATGGCATCCCACATATAAAACAGAGGAAGATTGGCACAGATGTTAGCTCAGGGACAATCTTCCTCAAGCAAAAAAGAGGAAGACTGGCAACAGGTGTTAGCTCAGGGGCAATCTTCCTCACACACACACAAAAAAGTGTAGTCTTTAATGAGAACAGCCAGAAGGCATTTCTGAAGGTGTAAGAACATGGCTTTCTGAGAGTGACCTGTCTTGCAGGTAGGCAGAGGAGGGTTATCCCAAAGGATGGAAGGAGAAATTTTCTCAATGTCACAATCCCTATCCTTCCATGTCCTCTTCTGCATGTTCCTCAAAGATGCTGAGATTTCAGCTCCACACTCCACGCTCACCCTTTCTCTGGCAGTCATTACATCCTGCTCTTCCTGAGGAATTGTTCTGTGGCACACAAAGGTGAGCAGAATAGGAGCTGTAGCATTCTGTGTAATAGATTCTGCAGAGTTCAGAGGACTTAGGAGGGAGCAGAATTGTTTACATTGAGAGCCCTTAACTGTGCTAAGAAACTCTTTAGTGCTCTGTTGTTGGGTTGTTTTTCTGTTTATTTTCTTTTTTATTTAATGTTTATATTAGATCAATATAAAACAAAATAAAAAGATAAATACAGATATAAAAGTTTCACTCCCCCACCCCTCCACCTTTTCCATCAAGTTTTCTATTTATACTTCTGTATTTGTTGTCTATTGCTGTATAACAAATTATCACAAACTTAGAGGCTTAAAACAAAGCATATTTATAATCTGATAGTTTCTGTGAGCCAAAAGTCTGCACAGGGGTATAGCAGAGTTTTCTGTTCAAAGCTTCTCAAAGCTGAAATCAAGGTGTTGGCCAGGATTGCAGCTCATCTAGAGCTCAGGGTCATCTTCCAAGCTCATTCAGTTCCTTATGGTTGTAGGGCTGTGGTCCCTGTTTTCTCCCAAGCTGTGACCTGGGGTCACTCTCAGCTCCTAGAGGCCTCCCTCAGGTCCTAGCAACATGGCTCCCTCCATATGCAGTTCACAACATGGCTGTTTTCTTTCTCCTAGGCCAGCAGGAGATCATCGCACCCACCCATCCTACCCACACTCAAGAGGAGGAGATGATATAAAGCATATATACTAGGAGGACAGAATACTACGAGCCATCCTAGAATTCTGCCTATCACAGCTTCCATTGCTGTTGAGGTGTTTGGGGTCTTTTTGCATAAGAAAAGCAAAAATGCACACACACACACACATACACACACACATCTCCTCCATAGATAAATAGTGGTATGTAATATACACTTTTCTCCATCTTGTTTTTTGCACTTAATGGTATATCTGGAGCCCATTTCATAACAGCGTACATACAGAGACAGTCCTCATACTTTTTTAAACGGCTTATTAGCGCTTCCTTTTGTGTATATGCCATATACCATATTTTATTCAACCATTCTCTAACTGATGGCCATTTGAGTTGTTTCCAGTATTTCTTTTGCTATTACAAATAGTGCTGTAGTGAAAAGCTTTGCATAGTCTTTTTTCTGGTCAAAGAAATTTTGCTAGATATTGCCAAATTCCCTATATAGAGATGATACTATTTTGCTCCCCTTTCTTCAAGATATCCCACTATAGATTTAATTTGTGATTTTCTTTTTGTGGGGGAGGTTAAGTAGCAATATAAAGTGAAGGGAAATTTGTAATTCCTTTTCTGTGAGCTGTCTGTTCATGTTCTTTGCCTATTTTTCTCTTGTGTTGCTGGACTTCTCTCAATTTCTAGAAGTTCTTAGGGAGTTTAGCCCTTTTTATGTGACATGAGCAGCAAATATCTTTCCCAGTTTTTCACTGTCTTTTGACTTCTTATTATTTTTGCTACAAAGAAATTTTTCGTATATGTAGATGAATTTGTCAAGCTTTTCTTTTATGGCTTCTGAATTTTGACTCAGAGAGAGAAAGGCTTTCCCCATGCAATGTTTGTAAAGGACCCACCATGTTTTTTCTTGTATTAGCATAATTTCATTTTTTACATTTAAATCTTTGATCCACTTGGAGTTTATCCTATTATATGGTTTAAGATATTAATCCAACATCATCTTTTTCAAATGTCTTCTCAATCAGTAGCTTTTCAATCCTCAGGAAAACTGAGGAATAAAAGTCATCAGAAATCAAAGTCAAAAAGAAAAAAGCTATTATCAAATGCTTAATTTCAGACTTTCTCAAGGCTGTGATAACGGGAAGTAACACTGCTTAATTATCTGGCCAGGTATGCGAGGCCAACTGCCAGACACTTTCACCGAGCTGAACTTAAAGAACACCGAAACCATGTAGACTGCGCTGAGAAGATGAGGATAAGTCACTGATTTCAGAGGAAGAGCTTGTGTCCTTCTTATGCTTCAGTTAATGAAGCTTCTCCCTTCTCAACAAATGCTACCAAGCTCCAAAATCTTAATCTCTTATTTTCCTTTTAAGTTCAATTATTTATAAAATTCCTTAAAGTACTCTTGGTTTTGAATTTACATACATTAAAATTCATTCTTTTTGGTATACAATCTATAGAGAGTACAATATACCTACCTAATCTTTAATCATCTACTCAGAGTTAATATTAGCACTTAAGTAAAATGCAGAAGAAGGCTTACAATTATCCGAGTCTCTTTAGCCTTCCTCCTTTTATGTTGTGCTTGCCATTTATTTACACCTACGTATGTTGAAACCCTGACCAATCTTGCGTTTTTGCTGTAAACAGCTTACGTGTTTTAAAGAATTTATGAGGAAAAAATATTCTACTACATTTGCCCAAATGTGTATGTTCTTCCTTCCTTCCTGATGTTCCCATTTTCCCTCTCGTATCATCTCCCTTTAGCTTGAAGAACTTCCTGTATCTTTCTTTTAGAGCAGGTCTGCTGGCAATGAATTTTCTTTAGTTCTCTTCCTCTGAGGATATCTTTCTTTCCTCGTCATTTCTGAAGGATATTTTCACTCAATGTAGAATTCTCAGTTAATAGTTCTTTTCTTTAAGCACTTTAAAGGTGTTGTTCCACTGTCTTTTAGGCTCAATGTAATGTTTTATTTTTCTATGGCTGCTTTCAAGATTTTTTTCCTTACCTTTGGTTTTTAGCAGTTTGATTATAAAGTGTCTGGTGTGGTTTTCATTGAAATTATTTTGTAACCTTATGTATTTCACTAAATTGGAAAGTTTTCAGCCATTATCTCTTCAAATATTTTTTTATTTATTTTTTGAGGAAGATTAGCCCTGAGCTAACATCTGCTGCCAATCCTCCTCTTTTTGCTGAGGAAGACTGGCCCTGAGCTCACATCCGTGCCCATCTTCCTCCACTTTATACGTGGGACACCTACCACAGCATGGCGGGCCAAGCAGTGCCATGTCTGCACCCGGGATCCAAACTGGTGAACCCAGGCCACCGAGAAGCAGAACGTGTGAATTTAACCGCTGTGCCACCACCGGCCTCCAAAGATTTTTTTCTGCACCCTTTTCTTGCCTCTCTTTCTGGGGCTGCAATGACATATATGTTAGATCTTAAAATATTGTCCCACAGGTACCTGATAATCTGCTCATTTTTCAAAAAATCTTTTCTCCAGCTGGTCGGTCGTGCAGCGGTTAGGTTTACACATTCTGCTTTGGCAGCCCTGGGTTCCCCAGTTCGGATTCCGGGTGCAGACATGGCACCACTCATCAAGCCATGCTGTGGCAGGCGTCCCACATATAAAGTGGAGGAAGATGGGCACGGATGTTAGCTCAGGGCCAGTCTTCCTTGCCAAAGAGAGGAGGATTGGCAGCAGATGTTAGCTCAGGGCTAATCTTCCTCAAAAAAATTAATGGATAAATAAAAATCTTTTCTCTCTCAGTTCTTTACATTGGATGATTTCTATTGATTAATCTTCAAACTCACTGACTACTTTCTCCATTATCTCAATTCTGCTATTGAGCCTGTGTAGTGAATTGTTTGTTTGTTTGTTTGTTTGTTTGTTTATTTTGGTGAGGCAGATTGGCCCTGAGATAACACCTGTTGCCAATCTTCCTCTTTTTGCTTGAGAAAGATTGTCGCTGAGCTAGCATCCATGCCAATCTCCCTCTATTTTGTAGGTGGGACACAACCACAGTATGGTTTGATGAGTGGTGTGTAGGTCCGTGCCCAGGATCTGAACCCACAAACCCTGGGCCACTGAAGTAGAGCACATGAAATTAACCGTTACACCACTGGGCTGGCCCCACTGAATATTTTTGTTATTTCACACATTGTATTTTTCAGTTCTAAAATCTCCCTTTAGCTCTTTTGTGTATAATTTCTATTTCTCTCCTCAAAATTTCTGTCTTTCACTCATTTCAAATGTGTTCAATTTCACTTCACAGAGGATCATCACAATAGCTGCTTTAAAGTCCATCCAGGGGCTGGCCCCGTGGCCGAGTGGTTAACATCGCGCGCTCCGCTGCAGGCAGCCCAGTGTTTTGTTGGTTCGAATCCGGGGCATGGACATGGCACTGCTCATCAAACCACGGTGAGGCAGCATCCCACATGCCACAACTAGAAGGACCCACAACGAAGAATATACAACTATGTACTGGGGGGCTTTGGGGAGAAAAAGGAAAAAAAAATAAAATCTTTAAAGTCCATCCAATAATTCCAACACCTGGATCATCTCAGAGGTGGCATCTGTTGATTGTTATTTTCACTTGAGAATTGGTCATATTTTACTGCTTGTCTGTGTGTTGAGTAATTTTGGATTATATTCTGGACATTTTGAATATATATTATATTAGGAAACTCCATATCCTATTAAAAGCCTCTCTAGAATGTTGACTTTTTAAATTTTTAAGAGGCAAATAACATGGTTAGATTCAGAGTGTAAGTTCTGTTTCTCCTTCTTTGGTCAATTGGTTTCAATGTCAGTTCTGTTTTCAAGTCTTTTGCTATGCAGCTTTGTTCTATACCACACATGTGCTTCTTAAGGAGCAGTCTTGAATTGGCAGTAATTTATGTCACAGACCACTTTGCAATACCTTTGTTTTCCCTCTTTGGATCTTTTTTTGTACATACAAAGTTCAGACTTGAGACATAAGATTCCAATATTGCATTTCTTTCCCTCAAGTGTAAGATGGATGCTATAATACAGTCATAAAGTATTTTTTCTACTACTGTTCCTTATGCCACTTGTTGTTACTCTCCTACCATTTCAACTTAATTGTGATTTATATTTGAATCACAAAACTACTAAAATTGATCTTCTTCTCACAGTTGTTAAAAGAATTTTGTTTCAAAATTTTGTTTGTTTTTTTAGTATCAAAAGCCAAGACAGATGAAAAACATTCTTCCTCACCTTAGCCTAATTTTAAGCCAATTTTCTCTTTTAGTCTCAATTTAGCTCACTTTCGCAAAAAGCCTTCTTGCTTTTCCATCTTCTCTGAGGATAATGGATTTATGTTTGATTCTTTCCTTCACCAAGTATTTATCAAGTGCCTATCATGTGCTAGGTACTGTTCTGGACACTGTTCATCTAAAAAAATAACTACCTGACACTGGAATGCATAGGTTACCAGAGAAATGGGAGAATTTATTTCTCTGGAGTTTTTAAGATAGTTACTTGTCTAACTGGAAGATGGTTTAAGGTGGGGAATGGGTAGTCTCCTCTCAATGTTCTGAATTCAGTGAACTCTCAAGACTGGAATAAGAAGGACATACCATCAAACAAACCCAAAGAAGCTCTGAGAGAAACCACATTATTTATAAGCTATTATCTCTCAAATTTTAGCCCTTTCATACTATTGCAATTATACACATTCCTACTTCTCATGCTTCTCCCCAGAGCCCCACAAGTTTTGAAGGGCGAACCAAAGCCATGATCTCTGAGAAGTAAGCTAATGGCCACAGTCCAAATATCCCATCTTGTTGTCTTTGGGGAAATGCTTTATATTCACATTGTTCCCATTTTTTCCACACTGGTACAGTCAATGGGAAAAAAACATAGTGAGCTAACTGGGATAGGAAAATAATTTTATTGTTCTATGAACAAATTTCTAGTAAGTGTGATTAGCAGAAACATTTTTTACATCAAATAGAATGAGGCTTCACTAATGAGATGAGCATAATAAGCATCTGATGTAATAGCAACTGCTTTTTTAAAATGTATAATAAAAGTGATGTAAGAAGGAAATATAATTAGCTTGCAAAAGTCAACCTGGGTTCATTCCCATTTATTGGCTGTGTGATCTTGAATAAATTATTTAACCTCTCTGAGTCCCCCTTTCCTCAACCATAAAATTGGGAGAACAGTAGTTATGTTGTAGTTTGTTAGAAGTCAATCCCTAATACACTGATAATTAACATTAGGTGAACACAAATCCAAAGTCAGTAAAACTTCTGGAAGAAACTATATGCATCTGTCTGAAAAGTGTCCTTGGGAGAATTTATCCCAGCCACTTATATATTTTATAAATTGAATAAAGCAGAAGGATCTCTTAAAACATTGTCACCTAAGGCAGAGGAACAAAGCTTCCCTTTTAATAAGTGTATCCTTACTTCAATATCCAATTCAATTCAATTAGCCTGGATGTTTTTGGAAGGACCTGACTATAATCATACATAAAAGTTTGTCTAATAGCTGGCCACAAGCTTTTGCTGACACTTAGTGAAATCTGTTTAATTACTCCAGTGGCCCCTATATTGGCTGCTGCGCTGGGGTCATCGGAAAACTCGACCCTGTGGTACTTGGGATACAAGAACATCTTCTGCTGATTGAAGCCTGTACCCTGTGGAAATGTTTTAATGTGATCCTTGAAGCATGTCCTAAGAAATGCTGTCAACACACATTCTTCCTTGTCCAGCCTTTATTTGATCAGGAATACTCAAGAGCTGTCTTTCTGCCTGTGGTTTACCACATTGTCTCCCATTTGCTTTCAAATCTGGTTGAACTGTGTTCAGTGAAGCAGAGGGAGCTGAATTAGAGGGGCATCATCCACCTTGCTCCTCCAGAGAAAATTTCCCATCAGATAAATCACTAAACCAGCGACTATGTTCTGATGCACAGAAGCCACATCCTTGCCACCTAATCATTCACTTGCTGAAAAACACATTCTAAACATTGTGAGCAAAGGGGCATGCCCAATAGACCATATGGAAGCTGGCATTGGTTACAAATTCCCAGTATAAACAATTCAAAAGAAGAAGGAAAAGGCAACAATAAAAGGACAACTTATTCGTAATTCACACTATCATGGGTGATCTTCTTGTGTGTGTGGAAGATTAGCCCTGAGCTAACATCCATGCCCATCTTCCTCTATTTTATGTGGGACATCTGCCACAGCATGGCCTGACAAGCAATGCATAGGTCTGCACCTGGGATCTGAACCGTCGAACCCCAGGCCACCAAAGTGGAACATGCGAACTTAACCACCGGGCTGGCCCCTCACAGGTGATTTTTTTAATAAAAAATAAAAGTTTTTTGGAGACTACTATTTAATATAAGCTAAAAGGTATGGCATAATCCTTAACAATTCACAGCTGCTTAAATAAACACAAATGTTGTACATTATGAGTTGATAAATTAGGGTGAATAGGTATTGACAAATGTTAAGAATTTTCCATATCCAAAGGTGTTGAGATGTTCACCCAAGGTGTATTGTTGTTTTTGTTATTTGTTTTTAATGAATAGGAGTTCCCAGGGAATAAGGAATTGCATTAACTGTGATCATTGACCAATTGAAAATCTTAATGTCAAGGGTTTTCTACTAGTTCTCAGAATGGAGAATGTCTCAGTGCACAGAGCTAACTTTGTCTAAGCTTTTGCTTCCAAAACAGCTGGCTTTTACAGTAAAAGTAAGGCTTACATTTCTTTGAATAAGGGGTAGACTTTTTAGAAATGTGATCATTAAAGAAAATCTTTTTTTTAAAGATTGGCACCTGAGCTAACATCTGTTGTCAATCTTTTATTTTTCTTCTTCTCTCAAAAACCCCCCAGTACATAGTTTTACCTTCTAGTTGTAGGTCCTTCTGGTTGTGCTATGTGGAATGCTGCCTTAGCATGGCCTGATGAGTGGTGCCATGTCCACACCCAGGATCTGAACCAGTGAAACCCTGGGCCACCGAAGCAGAGCATGCAAACTTAACCACTTAAGAGAAAACCTTGATTCCATTAAAATAATTCTATTTTACAGTCTACATTAATCCAAGGAAACACTTCGAAACCAGTATCTACAGATTAACCCATTTGAAGGAAACCGGAACACTTCCCTGTACAGCATTTTCACTTAAGGCGTTAATTAGTCCTTTCATATTAAGGAAAGATACTTCTAAAATTGGAACATTTCCTTCCTAATCACATAGTGTTACAAGAGAATAAAATTCCTCAACTTGACAGTAATAAATAAGGACCAGGCTGGCCTTTCTCTTTTGTTCTTCTTCAGCACCAATGGCTATGTGGACATCAGGATATTCTGCCCCAAAAAAAGTTCAGAGCAGTTTCAGAGTGATGGACCTACATGCCAGAACACAAGGACATTGAACTAAAGAAAGATGATAGGAATTTCCGTACCAGAAAGAAAAGAGTCACAACAAAAATCCATAAAAAGCTAGAAACAAACATAAGAAATGTTCAAGACTGCTATAAACGGAACAATAAAACAAACAAACAAAAACAACAAATGAAGTTTGGAAAACCTGAGACAGACCTTATTTCTGGAGAAGAAACAGCAGTTGTGAAAACTTTTTAAATAATACCAAACTAACCTGTACGTTCATTCCAATCTCAAACTGTTAATAGTGGTTATGTCTGAGGGGTGGGGATGGGGTAAATATTTGCATTACATGTGACAGACAAATCTCCCAAATAGCAATTGATTAAAGAAAAACAATACAAAAAAATGGACAAAATACATGACAAATAAGTCACAGAGGAGGAAATATAAGTTGGTCTTAAAATTGTGAAAAGAAGCTTAGCCTCATTCATAATAGGAAAAGTGTAAATTAATACACATCTAAGGTACCATTTTTCACTTACCAAATGGGCAAAAACCAAAGTCTGATAACACTCTATAAGTATAGCTCTGGGTAGACAGGAGCTCTTGTACATTGGTTGAATATTATTATATTACTTGTATATTATGAGTTAGTTACCTTTCTATGGAGGGTAATTGCATAATATCTATTGAAATTATAGAAGCATGTATTCATTGATCCAACAATTCCACTTCCTACGGATATACTTACATATGTGGAAAGTGACACAAAGTTAATCATTGAAATGCTGTTTAAAATAGTAAAAGATAGCAAACAGCCAAATACCCTTTGACTGGGGACTGATTGAATAAAGTATGGTACATCCATACAACTGACCATCACTCAGCTGAAAAGAAAAGGAAAAAATTCTTTTTGTAGCTATATGAAAAAAGTTCCATGTTATGATATTAAGTAAAGA